CAACCTCTATCTTCGACTCGTGGTGAAACTTCATTCCTCTGAAGCGCTCCAGATCTTCGACCAGGTTTGCAAGCATGTGGATTTTGGGAGGAAGCGTCCTTGACATCTTTCTGAAAAGACGTACTAACCGTGGCACCAAGACATCTCGAATCGAAGCCATCTCACTGTCTGTGATTGTCCCATACGGTTGGTAGGAGTAGTGTGAGAGTATGCCCATGTATTGGAGGATCCGCTTGAACCCATTGCAATACTTTTGAATCTCGGCATCGTCACAACCTCTGGCTCTCTTGTCTTGTGGAATCTGTTGGAGCAATTCCACGATGGAGTCCATCACCTGATCTGCACCATGCAACATCTTCCTGCAGTAATTGCCTACCATGGCTCCACCATGCCAGCTCGACCGGTGGATGTTGAAAAGATTGGCCATTTCTTCATCGAGGCTTTGTCGAATCTCCTGGCTGAGGGCACCGTATTCCGAATCTTTTTCGAGCCTCCTCATTTCGGCAGCTGCTTCCCTCCTTGCAGCTTTGGCTTTCTGCAGCTGCTCTTCGGCCGCTTTGAAGGTTTCCTTGGCTTCGGGAAGCAAAGCGGCATTTTCGAACTCTTTGGATGCGTCCATAATGTCTTTGGCACACTCCAGATCGGCTTCAGCTTGCCTCTCATCGATTATTGTATCTGCCTCTTCCCACCTCGCTTGCAGGAACTCCATCGGTCGGTTCTCAAGTCTGTGGTCGACATAGCCATCAATCATTTGCTTGATTGTATTGGTGAAGACATCCACGTTGTGCAACACTGGAGTGAGGTAGTTCTTCACAGGAATGGCATCAAAGATTGGTGGCTGCACACAACCTCGAACCTCTGCTGATTTTGGCTGCCTCTTCTTGTCCTTTACGATCTGTTGAGCTTTCTTTCTTCCTCCTACCTCAAGCCTCAAGCTAAGGTCGTCGGCAATGGCGTGGAGGATGAAGGTGTTGGAGTATAGGTCCTCTCCAGGCAACGGGCTCTGTGTTGGATGTGTAGTTGGTAGGAGAATGGTCAACTGAGAGGTTCCTGTCACTGTGGTGAAGGTTGGAAGTATCAAAATTGACCCGAAGGTTGTGGAGATGAGACTTCAAGATGGGCCTTGAAATCACCACCAAATTCCAATGAAATCCAATCAATCCAACTCTAGCTGTAGCACTGATTGTTGTAATGTGGAGAGCTCCTTATCGACCTGGAGACTCTCCTTAATTCCCTTAAAACTGCCTGAATTCTATGCGGTCTGTTAATCCAATAAGTTTCAGTTCCAATACCCAAGTAGTGGACTGGACCTCGCTGAAACCCTTCCTC